AATCTTTTCTACTTTCTTCATCAGAATTAACATTAGTATCATTATACATTTCATTATGAATTTTACGTACAAATTCCTGTCTTTCTGATGATAACGATGATAACAATTTATTATATGACATTATATAAAGAAAATTTGACTTGTTTTAATGAATGTGGAGAAGCACGGTTACAATGTTTCCTTTTTCTTTGAATGACGTGTAACAAACAAATTTTTCGTACAACATTTTTTTGGAAAAACGAAAATTGCATTATTTAAAGAACATCACCAAACTCTAGTGATTGATTTATCATGATTCAACAATAAAAGAAATTCTTTGAAGATTTAAAAGTGATAAAAATAGAAAGCATGTACCAAAGCCTGTCTTATGTGCTATGTAAAGTGCCAATATTGATTGATCAACATCAGGAAACTTTTGAGCTTAAGGATTCCTCCAAATTTTTATTAATAGGGATCTTTTAGGATTCTACAGCATTTTAAGGGATTCCTTAAGCTCAAAAGTTTCCTGATGAACCTGCTTCAAACTCAAACAACAAAAACATATTAATATTATTTGCGTATTACTATTACGTGTAGTTAATATTAACTTCAAAGCCGATTTAAAGTCGATTTAACACAACTCATATGTATCTAAAGACAATTTGATTTTTTACATTTTATGAAATGTAATAATAAAAGAATGGTTTTAATTTGTAAAAAAAAAGAGGCATTTTATTTTGAAAGAAAATATACAAAAAAAAAAGCAGTTTAATTAAGCAAATTTTCTAATTCAAATTATAACATTTGTAAACCTTCTCCTTCTTGCATCATTACAATATACATACAATGATATTAATATAATATAACTCTTATTCATCCCCGATACACACATTTTTACATCCTATTTTATCATTATCATTATTTCTGCTTGTATCAAGTGTTTTTTTTTACTTGTAACGTCAAGTGTTTTTAATTACGACAAGTGTTTCTACTTACGTCAAGGGCTTTTTACTTTAGTCAAATCGTCAAAATGGCCCTGGTGAAAAACTACCTTTAGTCAGTACTTTAGTTACGTCAATGACTAAAGTCAAAAGTTTCGTCATACATCATTATACTAAAACGATTACTATTTCATCATCTATTGTGATCAAACAAGGGTTAATGTCATTAATGTATTCCCAAAAAAATAACTACTTTTCGTGGTGTAATATGAATTGTAATGGCCAAATTTTCATATGAAAAATACCATTGTGATACTAGAAGACAAACTTAATAGAAATATATGATAAATGATCTAAAAATCCTTCTGGCTTTTCTACCCTTGCCCACATTTCTCATAAAACGTGAGATTACTTTTTATCCAAACACAGGATTTTATTAGAATACGCAAATAAAAATCCATTCAAAAATGGGTGAACATCAGAAATATTGGCAAGTTCTTATTATCACTATTCATTTTTTTTTTTTTTGGTATATATAATAAAGGTAAATTTTTTTATTAAATAATGAGAATTATTATTATTATAAAGGCGGAGTAGGAGGAGACCTTTTCCATTTTCTATTAATGCGAATCTATTGTAAGGCGATCACAATTTTTTTAAAAGTACTTTCGAAATATAGTGTTGGCGATCGCATTCCTTTCCTGATCCTATTGTAAATGATTTAAAAATTTTGCATTACAATACATCGTTGAGAAAATAATAATGATAAATAAATTTCTCGTGTAATAAATAGTAACATTTTAAAATAATCAAAACCCGCAGGGACCCGTCATTATACTTGATATAGTAATAGTAATAGGCGGACTTACTTTTAAATGATCCGCGAGTGGAAAATTTATATTAATATTAATTAATGTGTTTTTTTTTAAAAAAAAATTTTTGCTATTTAGAAATAAAAATATCCATTCAAAATGGCAAATATTTTTCCACTCTTAGAAAACTTGGACTTATTGGACTCATGTATGGGTTCCAACAAAGATATCAATCCCTTACAACTACATTATATCAGTAAACTTGTAAATGATTTATCAAAATTATTAAATGAACCTGATTTATATGATGTAGAAATCAAAGTTGGAGGGGACCAGAATGTTGAAACTTTCAAAGCTCATTCTACCATTTTAAAAGCGAGATCTACATATTTTAAGGCTGCTTTTTCTAATAATTGGATAAAAAAATCTAAAAATGGTATTATTTTATTTGAAAAAAAAAATATTTCTCCAAAAGTATTTGAAGCTATTTTAATGTAAGAATTATTTTTCAATTTGACTATAAATTAAATAAACATAATTATTAAATATCTAAAATAAATATTATTTTATCATTGTTAAAAGATATATTTACAATGGAATTGTTAATCCAGATAACTTGAACCCAGATGAAATTTTTGAACTTCTTGAAGCATGTGATGAATTAAATATTGATGAATTAATTGAGGACTTGCAAAATCATTTAATTATTGAAAAAAAAGAATGGTTACAACAGAATTTAAATTACACTTGTAATATTTCATTGAAACATCAATCATTTAATTTACTTCAAGATTATTTTAAGAAATTGATTACTGATGATCCTGACATGTTTTTAAAATCTGAGGATTTTAAATATATTGAAAAACCCATGGTTATGTCTATATTAGAAAAAGATAATTTAGAATTAGATGAAATTGAAATTTGGGATTTTGTCATTCAGTGGGGAATAAGCCAGGATAAAAAGTTGGAAAAAAGAAATTTTTTGACATGGAAAAAAAGATATTTCATCAAGTTAAAAAATTTAATAAAAGATATTCTTCCATTAATAAGATTTAATCAAATTTCATCAAATGATTTTTATGAAAAGATTATACCTTATAAAGATGTCTTTGATAGAAAAATATATGAAGAAATTCTTCAATATTATCTTGGTGATAAATGGCAGCCAAGAAGAGGAACTGGAAAATCATTAAATTTGAAAATGGAATGTTTAATTGCTAGTTGGATTGATGGAAAAACATATGATCAAAATAATTTACCTTATGTATATAAATTAATTCTACGTGGATCTCAAGATGGATTTTCTACATCTGTTTTCAGGGAGAAATGCGATAATATAGAACAAACTGTGGTTATAATGAGAATTAAAGAAACAGGAGAATTAGTTGGTGGCTATAATCCAGTTGGTTGGAATATTAAAGGAAAGCCATTAGATGGAAGATATTGGATTAAAACTGACAGAAGTTTTATTTTCAAAATTGATAAAAGTCAAATAGATAATTCAATACTAAGTAGAGTCAAAAATCCTGAATTTGCAATTCCTCATTTAATTCCTCATTACGCTAATTTAGGCTTTGATAGAACTATTGTAAATTTTTACGATTTAGCATTATCTAACGATTTTTATAATGGACCTTATTGTGATTATTATTATCGTCCTTATGGTAATTATGAAGATGATTTAGAACTTATAAATAATAATAAAAAAGTTCATGCGATAGAAGAATTAGAAGTATATAAATTAGTGAAAAACCGGAATTAGTGCCCGTTTTAAATTCAAATTTTAAAATTAGGGTAGTTTATAATTTTTGTTGTATATAAATAATAATATATTTCAGTCGGATAGGATCCGAAATTTTTCATCATTAATTGTACAAAAATTTTTATTTTAGAACTTCTAATAAACTAATTAATTAGATTTCATGATCAAAGTTGACGTAAAGAAAATGATAATTTTATATTTGCATGTGTGCTTGTTGCCAGACCTATTGGTTGTTTAATGGATCATTAACTTGGAGCAACACGTGTTTGAACCTCTGGCAAGTAAAATTGAATTGATCAAGCAATAAATAATTGTTTATATAATAAATTATTATTAAAAATTTTTTTTTAAATTGGCTAAAGAAGTGTTTTTGATAATGTGCTATAAGCCAACACTGGAAATCACTAGCTTGTAAAGTTATTATTAAATCAGGCATGTTTACTAATGGAATATTAAAATTAAAAGAAAAAATTTTTTTTTTTTGCCAACACTATTAATATTAATAAAATATTTGAAATCAGTTACTTTGGTATATAACACGATTTTTAGCACTTGTTGATAATCAATTACTATAATGATTTCAGGTGGTATTAATATTAGTATCAAAGGATTTTTGTTATTTTTTTTTGTTTTTTTATGTTCAAAGAAATGTTTTAACAGATAATTTGTGGAATTAATAACAATATTCAATAGAATGAATTATTAGATTTATTTTTTCTGTCTTTTTATAATAAATGTACAGTATATTAAAAAGTTACCATTTTAAGAGTAGAACAAGTTCAACGCACCATTTAACGAGTCTCACAAACGAGCAGCTAAAGCATAGAAGGTAGGTGTATAACATCGATGGTACAAAACAAACAATCTAACTCATATTTTCAAAAAGCTTCTAAATAATCTATCAAAGAGTCATACAGGGCGAATTAGTAAAAGAAATGTACGTGAAATTATGCATGAAGGAAAGAGGCTAGTTGGAAGCACATTGAAGGAGTTTATAATTATACAAGTAATCATGCAACAGCCAAGGCAACAAAACTCACTAAACGACATGTCTGGTTAACACCATGGATCAAGATGCGTGTTGACTTATCTGAACAAACTCTTTCAAAAGAAGTTGAAAGTGTTGCTACGCATAAACTTTATAATAAAGATGATAATTTTCCAAATAGAATGGTGTTTTAAAGAAGTTATTGTGACAGTAATGACTAAAAAACAAGAAAAAGATATTATTACTAATAAAGATGAAGAATACAAAAATGTCAAAATGATAATATTTAAGACCTCTTTTCAACCTGGTGGTAACCAAGTAACCTGTCAATTTATTACAATCATTGCATTTATTTATTAAATTAAATTTATTATAACGGTATTGTAATGAAAGGTACCGTGAAAGTTGCCAATGAATTATTATCTACTATATGTAAAAAACCAGTTTTTCATATATCTCCTTATATATTTGATTAAATTTTTTAATGTAATTTTAGGAATATTTTTGTCGTATAATATTTACAAAGGATTTTCACTACTATTAGATTCAGATTGACTATGGTAGTAACTAGATAAGTCTGCTATTGTATCTATCAAACCAGATGGATGGATTTCTCTATAAATAAATAAATGGATTTTAGATTCATGGAAAATATTTTAAATGTATTTAGCATGAAAAAATAAATATTACTTACGCTTGTATAATGCCAAAATTTATACCGATACAAGCCAAAGGAACCCCTATACTACAAAGAGCATAATATAATTGAGATAATAGAGTGATCTCAAATAGTTTATAACCCATTACTGCCATTGCAAATAAAGAAATTGTGCACATGAAGAAGCAACCCGTTAAGGTATAACTAAAGATACGCATCTATTTTAAAATAATTTTTATATTAAATTATGAAACTCAAATAATAATAAAGGTAATAACAAAAATTTACTTTTCGAAGATTTTTTATTAATTTTAAATGTTTCATAGTAATTTCGCTCGGATCAGAATTTTCATTACTAGCGCCAAAGAAACGTAATTGTACATTGTTTTCTCGACTTCCGTCAGGTATAACGCCTGATAGTATAAAGCTTTTTTGCGTCATTTTAATTAATGTTGAACCATAATAAAATAAAGTAATTGTAATTAAGGCATGTAATATTCCATAACAAGACCTTTAATTTGAAAAAAGCAAAGGAAAGCGATGGTAAGTTAATCAACAAGACAATTCAATCAAAAGAATTTTTAAAAAATAGATAACTAGTTTACCAATGTAATCCATAAGCAATTGTAACTCCAATTTCATCATTTCTGATCCGTGATAAACCTTCATATACAGCAGCCAATTCTATTGAAAAAAATTGGAATATGATTACAATCCAATAATAACATTTGATTTGGTTTGAATTTGGAAGCCTTAAGGTTTTCGTTGAGTTTGGTAGATAAAAATGCATTTTTGGTAAAGTTTTAAATCTTAAAAAGGAAAAAATAAAATTAGCGCAATGTAAAATAAATATGCGTGCGTGTTAATCGTGTTAATTTACAAAAACCATAACTTCACTCACATTCCTCCAATATAACCAATTGTTGCAATCTGGATTGATACATAACCGGATGTAAATAATATGTTTCGTAGAATATAATTCAACTTGAAGAGGTCAAATAATTGAACAACATTTGAAAATATTCTAACTTTTAAGATAAAAATAAAACTGATTAATTAATTAATTAATTAAAAAACCTTTTGAAGTCAATAAAAAATTTTGTTGCATACAAAAACAAAAAAATATTATCCATAACAAAAACCCTTCCAATGGTGAAAAACAACAATCATCAAATATACAACCATTCCTATACCATAATCGAAACATTAATAAACCAAATGAGAGTATTGATAATATTGATAATATTATAATTGAAATATAGTAAAGTATGTGAAGTGATGACGATTGTGTGTTTTGTTGACAATCCGTTATTGAATATGTCCATACGCATGGCGAAGAAATGTTATTATTATAATTGTTGATCGGAAAAAAGGAAGTCACCATTTGATTATATATATATATATTAATTTATTAATTTATTCTCGATTTATCATTTTGGAAGAAATTTTTGGAGTCCGAATTTTTTTTTTTTTTACAAAAAAAAAGAAGAAAAGAATTTATTTTTCGTCATAGTGTTTTTTTAAAAAAAAAAATATTTACATTACACGTAAAAAATTCTACCACAATTGATTATTACTAAAAAAGAGCAATTGAAACATATAATGATTTAATTGGTTTATTTTTGTAACATAATAATAGATTATTTTTAAATATAAATCACATGACTACATTTACCCTTAATCAGATGAAAGGACGATTTTTGAATAGATAACCATATCTCCAAGGTTTTTTAGGATTCCGCAATTCATTTACTATACTGGGAGGAAAAGGAGGAAGTAAATTGACTTCTAATGTTCTTCTTTCTACCTCTTCTATTCTTGTATCCCACTTAGCAGTTCCTTTAAAAATTTAATTTATATTGTGAGTGAAAGAAATTAATAACTGTTCTTATTATTATTAAATATCACAAATACCTTTTTTTTCGACCTCTTTCTTTTCCTTTTTTATAGGATCATAATACATATTAAGTTTAGGGATATATCTAAATGATACAATCTTATTCTTTTTTTTCTTTTTTATCAATTCAACTCTAACTGCCTGTCTTTTATAGAATAATAATAACAAAAAATAGTTAATAAGTTAATTAATTAATTAATCAATTAAATTAATTAATTAATTAATTAATCCATAATTAAATAAATCACTTACACATCTTTTTCTGGGATAGATCCCTCTTCAAAAGGTTTTATATGTTCAGGATGTATGAGAGAAACATTCGATACATGAATTGCTCTTAAAGTTTTCCTCATCCACCAAGAACCAGTTTTCTCAATGCTTGATGGATCAAAATCCTCTGTCTCATATTCGGTTCTTGGTGTTTTTTTACTCTTTTTTAAAAAAGTAAAAAATTAATTTTATTTGTCAATTTTTATTACTGATTGATTCACATATATTTAAAAAATATAACTTACAAAGTTCACATTATCAACAAAGACCCTATTCGCCCATTTATCCACTTTGATCACTTTACCAACTTGGCCTTTTGCTTTACCAGAGATAATTTTTACCTTTTATTTTACACACATACACACATACACATATACATACATACATATATACACATATACATATATATATTTATATAATGAACAAATTATGAATTATTGATCTAGAAAATCTTTTTTTTTTTGCATAGTTAAGAAAATTTCTAATTACTATATCATCAACTTTTATTTTCCATTCCGGAATTCTATCTTTTGGATGAACCCATTTTAAATGTTGCTTGAAACGCGATGAATTTGAATCTTCAAATTTTGACCACGTTTGCCTCAGCATATGCAGTGGTTTTTCACGAGTTACTTTCTGCATTTTTACATTAGATTTTTTTAGAGGGAAAAAAATATTTTTTCTTGATCAACAGTAAAATTTTAGTCACACCAACACATCCAAAATCGATCAACTTTAAAGCTAGATAAGGAAATATTAGATGCTTATCTGAAATGACGATATTGCTGGTTTCAGGTTTAAAATATGTTGCATATAAAATTTCCAAATTTGAAACATTTAAAATTTGAAACTAATAATTGTTTTAAAATTATCTTGATGATAAGTTATTTCTATTTTTCTCAGACAAACATTCAATCCATCAACTAGTTTTTCAACATTAGATAAATTCATTATTTGAACAAGAATGTCTTACCATTAAAATATGTTGGTAAACTTGTTTAATCCCATCTGATAATAATTAATTAATACACATGCAGATTCGTTCATAAATCAATTCACGTTTTTTTTTCTCATGCTTCTGATTACTGAATTAAATTATTTATCATCACATGTGGAATTCTTCGCAGTATTGTTTACCGTTGTGCTTCAAATTTTGTATTAGGCAGAATGAGAACGATTTTAGTAAAAAGGATGAGATTTTTTTGAGGACAAAAAATACAAAGAACTGGTTTTAGAACATACTGTAAAATTTATTATTACAATTGTAAATAATTAATATGGTAAAACTTCAGGGTATGTCATCAAAAAATTTTTTTTTGATTCAAGCGAGAGAAGACTTACTGTTTTATCTACTAAAGTTTTTCGTTTGCAAAATTTCAATTTGTAGCTTAGAATTTTTGAATTCAAAAAATGCAATGCAACTGAATATTTATTGATATCTCTCCATTTCAAAGAAAACTTTTACGTTGATAGTTTGTCGTTGCAGGTGAATTAATAGTAATAGACGGGTAATATTTTTTAATCGATGAATTTTTAAGGTTACACGAAAAAAACCATACGAGATTTGTTTATTTGTCGTAAATTAATTAATTAATAACATGACTTGGCATGATTTTTGTACTATACAATAATAATAACCTTATCTGCGAAAGGGGAAACGTTTAACCGATGGTCAAGATGAAATCTACATTTTTGAAATTTTTATATGTATTTTATCTCTTCTATAATTCTTTCCAAGCGATGGCTTTTAAATTGTTGAAGATCGAGAGTTTTTAATTTCAAACAACAACCAGGTTCAGAATTTGTGATGGCTATTACTACTATGACTTTATGACTCCCCATGCTTTCCCTTCGAGGGATAGATTCATTAATGTATGCATTTTATACTTTATTTCAACTCCCAACTACTGTCTTAAATTGTTTAAATGTCCCAGTGGTTTGTATATTTATATATGTTTACATGAGTACAAAAATTATTGCGTATTACTTTTGATTGGCTAGTTTAATTTTCACATTTTGAAAATAAATTAGTAATATTGAAATATTGAAAATAAAACAATTCCATCAAAGATGTCTCGTTTTTCACCCTTAGAGAACATAAACTTATTATTTAACAAACTTAATAACTCCAACAAGGATGCATTATCACTAAAATATATTAGTAAACTTGTAACTGATTTAACAACGTTATTAAATAAAACAGACTATTATGATGTAGAAATTATAGTTGGAGAAGGCCAGGATGTCAAGATTTTTAAAGCTCATTCTATCATTTTAAAAACAAGGTCTTCATATTTTAATGCTGCCTTTTCTAATAATTGGATAAAAAAATCTAAAAATGGTGTTATTTTATTCGAAAAAAAGAATATCTCTCCAAAAGTATTTGAAGTTATTTTAACGTAAGAATTATTTAATTTTATAAATTAAATAAATATATACAATTAATTATTTAAAATATCTAAAATAAATATTATTTTATTATTGTTCTTGTTAAAAGATATATTTACAATGGGATTGTTAATTCAAATGATTTGAACCCGGATGAAATTGTTGAACTTCTTGAAGCATGTGATGAATTAAACATCAATGAGTTGATTGAGGATTTGCAAAATCATTTAATTATTAGAAAAAAAAAATGGCTTCAACAGAATTTAACTTATGCTCATAATATTTCATTGAAACATCAATCATTCAATTTGCTCCAAGATTATTTTGAGGAATTGATCACTGATAATCCAGATTTATTTTTACAATCTGATGATTTTAAAGACATTGAAAAATCTATGGTTATGTCTATATTAGAAAAAGATAATTTGGATTTAGATGAAATTGAAATTTGGGATTTTGTCATTCAATGGGGAATAGGCCAAGATGAAGAATTGGAAAAAAAAGATATTTCAATATGGAGTGTGGATGATTTCAACAAATTGAAAAATACAATAGAAAATCTCCTTCCATTATTAAGATTTAATCAAATTTCATCAAGTGATTTTTATGCAAAAATTGCACCTTATGAAAAAGTTTTTATTAAAGAAGTGTATAAAGAACTTCTTCAATGCAATATTACAAACAATTGGCAACCGAGATTAATAATTCGAAAAGGTCCAAGAACAGGAACTGGAAAATTATTAAATTTACAAGCAAAATGTTTGATTTCTGGTTGGGTTGATGGAAAATGTGGTTCATATGATCAAAACCATTTACCTTTTGAATACAAATTAATCCTTCGTGGATCTCATGATGGATTTTCTAGGGCTGTTTTTGAAGATAAATGTTATAACATCGAAAAGACTGTGGTTATAATGAAAATAAAAGAAACAGGAGAACTGGTTGGTGGCTATAATCCGGTTGGTTGGAACATTAAAGGAAAAACTCCAGATGAACGTTATTGGATTGAAACAGACAAAAGTTTTGTTTTTAAGATTGATCAAAATCAAATAAACAATTCGATATTAAGTAAAGTCAAAAATCCTGAACATGCAATAAGGCATAGTAGACAAAAATGTGATGTTAATAGAAATAATATAAAATTTCATGAAATATTAATTAATTTTTATAAATTAAGACTATATAACAGCATTGATGATGAACCTTATTGTTATTATAATTTTTCTCACAATTCTGATTCTTATAAAAATAATTTGAATCTTAAAAATAATAATAAAAAAGCTCATTTGATAGAAGAATTTGAAGTGTATAAATTAGTAAATAAATAGACTCGGGCTATACCACTAGAGAGAGAGCTGCTATGCTAATGGTTGAAAAGGGAGTGACTTTAAAGGGTTGGGTTATAGATTACGGGAAACTTGGAAATGATGATTTACAACAAGTTACGCGCGACAAATATCGGAAATGATCAACTCGTACGAATCAACATAATTGGGAAATTTTCTTGATTGTTAATTATCTTATCTTTATTTTTCTTGTATATAATCTTGTAGTAATAGATAGAATCTCTTAGAATTGTTTGTCATAAAAACTTTCTAAGTTAGGTTACTTTAGAGAAAGCCTTGTAAAAAAAATTCCGGATTTTTCAATTTTAAATAAAAATAAACTTTTTACTATTTAAAAATAAAAAATTTCCATCAACTAGTTTTTCATCCTTGGGGAATTTAAACCTATAACAACTTTATTAATTCTGATAAAAATGCCTTGCCATTAAAATATATTAGTAACTTGTAAATAATATAACATCATTATTAAATAAAGCAGTGTAGGGATTAAAATTGGAGAGAGCTCATTCCACCATTTTAAAAGCAAGTTCTTTTGATTTTAAAATAGCTTTTCTAATACTCGGGCAAAAAAATCCAAATAAGCTTAATGTTTTAAATTTTTAAGATTTATATTCAATGGAGTTGAGTTAATTGAATATTACAAAATTACTTGATTATTAAAAAAAAAAAAAGATTCAAAAACATCAATCATTCAATTTACTCAAGATTATTTTGAGGGCTAATTACTGATGATTCAGACATATTCTTACAATCTAATGAATTTAATGATATCTATATTAAAGAGAGGCAATTTTGATATAAAGGAAATTGATATTTCAATGTGAAAAATGATGATTTCATCAAGTTGAAAATGTAATATATAGATGTTCCACCTCTATTACAATTTCATTGAATGATCCTTGTGCAAAAACTAAATCTTATAATAAACAAGTCTTTATTAAAGAAATATACAATGAGCTTCTTCAATTTCATATTGCTGATGATTGGCAACCAAGATTAGTACTTCAACAAGGTCCAAGAACTGGAACTGGCAACTAGTTAGATTTAAATATGAAAAATTTAATTTCTAGCTGGAATAAATGATTTATATAATGCAGATAATTTGTTTGTGGTTTTAAATTAATTCTTCATGGATTTAAAAGATGGATTCTCCGAATCTATTTTCAACGAAACAGGAGAAGGGGTTGGTGTTTATAATCCAGTTTGTTGGAATATTAAAGAAATGAATTGAGAACAGAAAAGTATTATTTTCAAAATTGATGAAAATCGAATTAATAATTCAACAATAAGCAAAATCAAGGATCATGAATATACAATAATTCATGACAAACATAATAATGTAAAATTTCATGGTTTAACAATAGTGTTGATCTCATTATTATTATCATAATATTTATACCTCTTTGAATTAGTAATAAAGAAACGAATGTTTATTCGATAAGAAGAATTAGAAGTGTATAGAACCGGACTCGAGATACTCTTATTCTATTAGACGAAAAAAACTTTTAAATTCAAATAAAAATATTTGAAACATGAATATCTAAGTTTTTTTTTATTTTTTTTGTTTTGATGAATAGTTAAAAATTAAAAATATTATTTGTTTTAATTAAATTAATATAAGTGGGTAATTAATTATTAATATATATTAGTATACAAAAAAATTAATATTACAAAAAAAAAAAAATAAAAAAAAAATTCATCATTCATCTCCCTTTTGTTTAGTGAATATTGTTTCTTTTTTTTTGAAAATAAATACTACAGTATGACATTTATTCATCTTCTAATTTACAAATAAGATATATTATGTAGTATTATTATATTATTCCAAATCTAAAAAAAAAATTAAATAGTAAATAAATAAATAAAAGATAACAATCTAACATAGCTAATTCCATTATTCACATATAA